TCACACAGTGTGCAAACAGTTGTGTTTGGTAAACTCACAAGCAGGACAGGGGGGTGATAGTCTCCTTCTATTGTTTTGCACTAGCAACCAGCATTTCAGGCCTTCTGCCTTTGATAGCAGCCAGAGGTTTCAGTCCCTGATTAACCCATCCTCTATTATTCTCAAGACCATCTTCTAAAACCATCTCACTTGGTGATCATTACTTCTGATGGCAGCACTTGCTATAGCTTAAAAATGTACTGTAGGAAGCTAAACCTGAAAATCTAGTTCAGGGTCATATTAATGGTAAATCATCTCAATTTCTTCCAAAACCCAATCCATTGTTTCACTTCAGCCCTCAAAGCATCCTGCACTTGCCTGTTCCTCAAACAGTATAAGAATGGGATCAAAAGAGGAGCTATGATCGTATTCAAAAGAGCCACTATTTTGTTGAACTCTAATTTGCTGGTGCCTTTTGGCTTGATGTACATGAAAATACAACTGCTGTAAATGAGGGAGACCACAGTCATGTGAGAAGTACAGGTGGAGAAGGTCTTCTTCCTCCCTGTAGTTGATGGGATGCGCAGAATTGTGGAAATAATTTTGACATAAGACACAATGTTGACACTTAAGGTCCCAAGCAGAGACAGTATGGCAGTCACAAAATCAATCAGTTCTACGAGCCTGGTATCACCACATGCTAGTTTGAGTAGTGGTCCAGAGTCACAATAGAAATGGTTGATGATGTTAGGACCACAAAATGGCATTTGAAACAAAAAAAAGGCTGGAACTAGAATTAGCGATAACCCCCCAGCCCAGCAAGAAAGTACCAATAATGAACAGGTTCGTCCATTCATGATGGTTGAGTAGTGAAGAGGGTTACAGATTGCTATGTATCGGTCAACAGACATTGCAGCCAGTAGAAGGAACTCAGTGACGCCAAGGACAAAACAAAGGAAACTCTGTATTTTGCAACCAGCTACAGAGATGCTCTTACTGCCAGTGGCTATGTTGGCCAATGTTTTGGGATTGATGTTACTTGTATACCCAATCTCCACCCATGCCACGTGTCGGAGGAAGAAATACATTGGGTTATGAAGTTGAGCATTCAGCAATGTGATAATAATAATCAGCATGTTTCCAATTAATGTCAAAAGATAAATTCCAAACAGGAGGAGAAAAAGGATAACTTCAAATTGATGGTTGTCAGTCAACCCCAACAGTATGAATTCCCTCACTGTGGTCCTGTTTGCCATTAGCTCATTCCTAAAAATAGAGTGAAAAGATGAGAGATTACTCCATGGCTTCATTTTTGTTTCAATCACACATTTCAAATGAGTACCATTTCACCAGTTTTGATTGGTTGTAGTAAAATCAAATGGATGCTCACTGATATAAATAAGAAAAGATAGTTTGAATCAGACCAAAGTACTTGTAGTCACCAGTGTAAAAGAAGCTAAGAATCCACACCATATTCTCCCCTGTCCAAAATGATTCATACATGTATTCATGCGTGGTTAATGTTACTGATTATTTTATTTTGCTCAATGCTAACTCGACCTGACCTGAGATGGCTCCACATTCCCTTTCAGTTTGAACAAAATTCACATAGAGATTTCAGTTTTCTCATAGAAATTCATAGAATTTTGCTAACATTGAACAGGAAGCAATTCCAAAAACATAGCCTTCAACCACTTCTCACTCTACCAGTTACTTGACATGGCACAAGTGTAGCATTTCTATGGGGGAAAAGCCTTACAGTATTTTAAGTCTACTATAATGGCCAGTAAATATTGACTAGCCTTTTACCTATACAACTGTGGTAAGTAGCTATTTCTACTCAT